CTTGGCCTGTTTCTATGGATTCGTGACACTTTTTGTGTTTCTTAAGCGAGTTATGGTATCTTAAGTCATTCGTCAATAAAAACTTGCTTTTGGTAGAAAGACTAAGTCAAAAGTCATGGAATCTTGGTCAGCTCCTGCGAGGCGCTATTCTTTGAGCCCAACAGCTCTCTGTTGATCTGTGTCTGCATCTCCCATCTCCAACCCAACTCACTGAACGCCCAGGGGCGTTCGTTTATATGGACACCGACCAAAACCGTGTTGGGGCCTGTCGTGGTGTGGGTTCTTTGACAATTCTCAATTCCCAACAAAAATTCTCTTTGTCCTCAGGACAGAAAAATTTATTTTCTCTCTCGTCCATGAGGAGAGGTCGGAGGAGAATTATCTTCCTAGACGCTTCCTTTCTCATATTGGTATCTCATGCCAATCCTCTTAGTGGGTGTTGACAACTTCCCCGCCTTTCTAATACATTCAACTGCGCCTATCACTCACGCACCACTTGGCCAATGATCACTCGGCAGCATGGCTAGATTTGGCCTTCTTAAAATTATCTTCCAGAAAAAAAAATTCTCTTTTCTTTCCTTCTTTTCTATCGGCCACAATTCTTATGAGTCCCACGTGGCCATAATTACATTTTTATCTTATCCTGAGCCACCCAAAATCCACTTTATTTTTCTCGTGTCTTAAAATTTTCGTATCACCAGATGCCCACCTTTGGCGATGTTAAGTCTGTCGTCAACAGTTTGAATAAGCAATAACAATGATCATATCAAGATCTGTACACATAATGGCTGGCTTTCTTCGTCGGAATCCAAGAAAGAAAAATATTAATGGTATCTCTGATAGATAACCAATATTGATTTCTTCTGCCTGTATGCAGTTGACCAAAGCCGAAATTTTTTTTATGATCGCCATGTGTGGTTGGCTTTGTCATTCCTCCCCGAATTCTGTTTCCCTTGGCGCATCATTATCTGATCATGACATTAATTTATTCTGACAGAATCTGAAATCTGGCTTTCTCTTACAGATTTTCTGTCTTCTACAAAAAAGTATCTTTCTTTGTAAATGAAATAAAATCTTTTCCCATTCTTTTTTTGTTAAAAAAAAAATGTCGCTGTGTCTTCTGATATAGCTCTTTCTCGCCTTAAGTATTTCTCGTTTTTAATTTCTATGCTTAATTAGTTAGCCAATTACCATACCTAAATAGTGTCACAGAATAACGAATTTTTACAAGAATTTTTTCATTTTTTAAAAATTTTAATTATAATAAAATTCTTCATTGCTTTCAAGAATGCAATTTGGTGCTATCATTAAGTGAAAAGTAAATTTAAAAATCAAAATTTTAAAAGCTCATAACAGTCATTTGTAACCTAATATTTTTAAAATAATTTTTAAAATAATTTTTAGTGAAAAAAACGTTCCCAATTTCTATGTATGGAAATCTAAAATTTAAAAAGGACACATGATTTAAGTGTTGTCTGACGTTGCAATTATTTCACTTTTAATTCAATTCTGTTTCATCATTAATGTCTTTTGCAAATCAACCCTTCGAATTATCAAAAGTTTAATTTTTCTTAATTGCTATTATACTAAATAATTTTATTCTATGTATTTATTTTAGTTTGGGTCATACTTAAATTAATTAATTTTTTGTTTACAGTAGTAAACCTAGAGACGAAATGCAAATTTCATAAAGCTTCTTAAAAACCTAACTAAAAGTCAACAAAATATTAAATAATTGCTGAAAATATGTTAATTTGTAAAAATTACCAGGTAGTTAAAAAAAAAAAAATGTATTAGTTTTCGTAAATGTGTCATTCCTGGTCATCCATAAGAGTTGTCATCACCTTAAGAGCTCAATAAATCAATAAAGATCAAAGAAAGAGGAACCCATTGTTAAGAAATGCTTGTATATTGGTTTTTATGCTATAAGTAATAATTATTTCAAATCAGATTAATTTAACATAGATTTTCTAATTTTACTCAAATAACGTGTTACAAATCTATAATTTTGAAAGAATTTTAAATCCGATAAATTTGTTTACAAATTTCTTAAAATTTAAGAAAAGGGCTGCTTTTAAAAAAATTTTAAAAAATTGATCAATTATTTGGCATTCCAATTTATATAATTTCTATCTGAAATACACCAGAATATCTGACTTACTGGAAATAATAAATTTAATCATTTATCTTTCAATTAAAACTAGAAAGAACTCTTCAAGAATGCTTTTTCATTTTTAAAATTTTGGTATTGAAAATTTGGCAGAAGTACCTACTTAATTGTATAAGAAACTATATTCTGTTTGGTTATGCCTATGGTGTACTTTTCAATAAAGATCACCATAGTTATACCTGATCAAAAAAAAAGAGTTAATCAGTCTAAGAATAAGCTATAATTCATTAAGGCATTAGATTAATGGATTAAATCATTACTTCATGAATTTGATAACATAGTAATTCTGAGTTCAATCCCTGGACCAGGTAGTAAAGACTCAAACTCAGTAGAAACAGAGTTAGTAGTACTAAGAAAAAGACATGGATAGTAAACTAAGAACAATCTATTCCTGTTGCTTAAACAAAGAGTACGGGTTTGAAATTCCCCGAAGGTTAATCTGGAGAAGGCACAATGATGATGAGTTTAGGCTGAATGTAAATGATTATTCTGCATCCCAAAAATTCATTAAGAATCAGGCATAAGAGATCATTTTGGATTACATGTATAAAAGGAAAAGTCACAAGAGAGTGTTTTGTCATTGTTAGGTTTTACAATCATTACTTGTGTTAAGCTTGCTTTTCAATTCTAACAAAACCCGAATGCAAAGAGAAAAACTGTCAATATCTTTCTTCCTGGAAGACCTATTGAACCAAAATGAAACAGAAAACAGCCTACCAAACACACTGAACAGATAAATCTAATTAGAAATTTCCTAAATACTTTATTTACTACATTTTATTAAGTTATATTTTATTTATTTATTTATTTTTTGTGACACCTTGCCAAACTTCAACAAAATTCACATTTTATGTGTATATATTATACTGGTAACAAATTATAATATCTTGTATTTGTACCTGATATATATCCCAGATTTATTAAGTTAATAGATAAAATTAAACTGGGTCACAATTAAAAATGTTTGTGAATCCTACATTAGAATGATAGGTCAAATAAAAATATTTGAAGCAGTGAGTACCAATTAGTAAAGTTGCTGAAAGCTTGTTATTGCTGGGCCTTCTAAAGGATCTGTCAATTAACTTGCTATAAACAATTTCTTATACTGCTTACCCAGTCATGAAAACTGATTTCAAATTGGGTCAGTGAATACATTTCACTTTTAGTCAGTCTTGTGTAATCCATGAAAATGTTCATATTTCTTAAAGATTTACTCAGTGTGTACTTGGTCAGAGAGTAAAACTAATAAATGGTTCAAGATTTAGAACAAACATTCCTTTGACCCCAGGTATATGATAGGTATATTAGAGTCATGTTAAATTGTTATTGAAAAGTAAAACATTTAACAAACAGTTATCACCTCCAGGATAAATCATAGTTGCACCACTTATTTTTCAGATAAGGCCATTCATTTAAAAACCTGTACTTTCTGGCCCTAATAGAAAGTATTGCTATAATAGAATGCTGATAAATTGTTTTAGAAATCATCAATCTATTCTAGTGGTATATAGAGAGTAACATTAAATTATTTTAAATATTTAATTATAAAATTTTAAATCATTTAAAAGTACAAATGTAATGTAAATATAACAAATAAGTCAGTTATTCATTTTCTATAAAAAGCTTGCAACAAAAATTCCTTTCATCCAACAATGTTTTTTGTTTAAATAATTTTCTTTTCTACTAAATTATTTCAAAATGATGAAAATCTTGTAAACTTCTCAGTAATTCTACTTTAACAAAAAATGATTGCATAATAGTGGAGGGTGGAGAATGTTTAATTTAAAATATTCTGTGTAGAATTGTAAATATTTTCAAAGTTTGCATACAAGGTAGTATCTGAAAGTTCTTGGATTTGTATTTGTTGTAATTGTACTGTAAGGATACAGAAGGTGCTTATCTACCTTTGCTGGAGATAAGTCACATGGATCACATGACGGCCACTTTGTGATGTCACTTGAAACAGTAATGAAAAGTAGCAGTCAAAATTCAGTTTGTTTACAGCAACCACACGGTAAGGTTGCTTTCTTTAGCTCAGGTCCCCTATGACCTAAACAGATGCTAAATCTGCCTCCTCAGCCATTTCCCAGATACAGAATTAAACTCCAGTTCGCTGTCCTCAATCTTCGTTTTTGTTTCTCCTTAGACTTTGTGTCCCCTATTTTAGTTGTATGATCGATTGGCACTCACACCTCTCGGCCCGCTGCAACAAGTGGTGACCCCGACGTGATTTATGGACACAGGCAAACAGCTAGCAGAGAAGATGGCGGAACACACCGAAACAGAAATCAACACATCAGCCGCCCTGATACAACTACCGCCATACAACTCGATCAACACCAGGAGTTGGTTTATTCAACTTGAGGCGATATTTTCAGCACAAAAGGTCACACGACAGGACACTAAATATGCCTCTGTGGTACAAGCCATACCAGCATCAATCGTTGAAGAAGTGGAAGACATCCTTCTCAATACTCCGGACCAACTCCCATACACCTGCCTCAAAGAAGCCATCCTCAAACGAACTGGACGTTCGGACGAAGACCTCATCAGAGACTTATTCTCTAATGTGTCTCTCGGCGATAGGACACCATCCCAGCTCCCCGCCTGATGAAGAGCCGCCTCGAACAACACCATGGCAGAACCCATCCTCCGAGGGTTATGGATGGATCGGTTACCACCGAATATAACACAAGTTCTAGCCCTGGTACCAGTAGAGACGCCCCTTGACGCTGTGGCCGACTCAGCCGACAAAATATACTCCCAGGCTCACCAAAAAAGTTCACCAGGTTGAGAGCCACGGAAACAAAACACAACGCCTCAAGAGGAGATGACCCAGCTACGCGCAGAGTTGAGGGACCTGAAACTCTCCCTATGCCGGAGAAGCCCAGCACCACGCACGCGAAATCGAAGCCGCACCATAGCTCAAGTCCAGGACGGAGAAACAGTGTGGACGAATGTTGGTACCACCAAACCTTCGTGTGACCGAGCCCAAGTGCCACCCTCCCTGCAGACGCAATAAGGCCCAGGGAAACGAATAGACCGACAGGCAGCGACGACGATCCCTGTCGGTACTCGCTCACACAGTCGCCTCTTTCACGTGTGGGACCGTAACAATGGTCTCAAATTCTAGTTGACACTGGCGCAGCCATCAGCGTAATACCACCCACCAACAGATCGGCCTTGAAACCCACCTCATTCCAACTTCGAGCGGCAAATGGCTCCACCATAGAAACCTATGGAACCAAGGAGCTTACCTTAAACATCAACCTCAGGCGCGACTTCAAGTGGTCATTCACTGTAGCTGACGTCAAGACACCCTTGCTCGGTGCCGACTTCTTGGCACATTACAACCTGGCTGTCCATATGAAGACGTGGAGAGTCCTCGTCTTCATATGGACAGCCATCCGACAACACGACATCCATCAAGATCACAGGGATCCCTTCGAGCTTCAACACAACTAGGATCAGCGTGGCAACACAGCACGACCCACGCTACGTAGAAATCCTGCGCCAGTACAAGCACCTCACGCAACCCATCAAACCAACTGATGCAGGCGACCATCAGACCCAACACCATATAAAGACCACCGGACAACCAGCATATTCACGGCCACGACGACTCCCTCCACACAAATTAGCATATGCCAAGAAAGCGTTTGAGGAGATGCTGGCTGACAATATCATCCGACCCTCAGACAGCCCATATGCTTCACCACTGCATCTGGTACCCAAATCCGACGGGGATTTCAGGATCTGCGTGGATTACCGGAAACTCAATGCATCCACAGTACCCGACCGGTATCCTGTTCCGCACATCCACGACTTAGCCTCAGGTTTACAGGGGGCCCGCATTTTCTCAAAAATTGACCTGACCAAAGCCTACTACCAAGTTCCAGTTGCTCCGGAGGACATCCCAAAGACAGCAGTCACAACCCCTTTTGGACTGTTTGAATTCCTAAAAATGCCCTTCGGACTGCGCAACGCAGCCCAGACGTTCCAGAGGCTGATGGACGAAGTTCTGCGTGGACCACCATACGTCTACGCATACATTGATGACATCCTAGTGGCTAGCAGAGACGCTGATCTCCACAAACAACACCTGGAGGAAGTGTTCCGCCGTCTAACACATTACGGCCTCCGAATCAACCCAGACAAGTGCGAATTCGGTGCACAACACATAGACTTTCTCGGACACCACACAGACGCTCAGGGAATCACCCACTTCCCGATAAGATAAAAGCCATACAGGATTTCCCGATGCCCACATCGATAAAAGCAACTGCGACGCTTCTTGGGATGGTAAATTTTTTACCGCAGGTTTATCCCCGGATGCTCAAAACTCCTCACCCCACTGACAAATCTCCTCCAGAGAAAAAAAAAAGCCATCACCCTGGAGGGCGACCAGGATAAATCATTCCAAGCAGCAAAAACTTTTTAGCTAACTTTACGAAGTTAGCACATCTCAACGAAGACACCCGGACTCAGATATATCTAACAACAGATGCCTCAGACACTGGAGTTGGAGCTGTGGTAGAACAGGAGGTTGACGACCAACGCAAACCCATCGCATTCTTCTCGGCTAAATTATCACCAGCCCAGTCCAGATACAGCACCTTCTCGAAAGAACTTTTGGCTATATACCTCGCCATCAAACACTTCCGACATCTACTGGAAGGCCGGAATTTCACAGTTTTGACCGACCACAAACCCTTGACAACTTCCCTGTCGAACAACTCGGACAAATATACGGCTCGCGAGATCAGACATCTAGACTATATCTCACAGTTCACGTCTGATATTCGTTATGTCAAAGGAAAAGACAACTCTGTCGCCGATGCCCTATCCAGATTTGATGTCAACACAGTGCAAGACAGCCCACTCAGCCAGGACCTGATAGCAGAGGCCCAGGAATCCGACGCAACCCTCCCTGAAGTCCTAGCCAACACATCCCTGCAACTGAAAGAATTTCCGGCACCCTTCAGCAACAAAATATTGTACTGCGATACAAAACTGGATCACCCTAGACCCTACATACCTCCGGCACTCAGAAGGCAAATTTTCAACCACCTCCATGGATTGTCACATCCCAGCAAGCGCGCTACGGTCAAACTCATTGCCGATCGTTTTGCGTGGTCCAACATGAATACTGACATCCGTAATTGGGTATCAACGTGCCTTAAGTGCCAGAAATGCAAGGTACACCGGCACACAAAATCCCCGCCAGGCACATTCAGCAACCCTGACGCACGTTTCAGCCACATCCATATCGACATAGTGGGACCTCTCCCAATGTGCCAGAATTATCAGTACCTCCTCACAGTGGTTGACCGTTTCTCCAGGTGGCCAGTAGCAGTACCCATCAGAGATACCTCGGCTAGCACGGTAGCAAAGACCATTCTTCAGGAGTGGATCGCAATTTTTGGCGTACCCAGCATCATCACCACAGACCGCGGTGCGCAGTTCCAGTCCTCACTCTTTCAGGAATTCACTCAACTGCTCGGCGTCAAACACATCAAGACCACCGCCTACCATCCCTGTGCCAACGGCCTTGTGGAAAGGTTCCACCGAACACTAAAGGCCTCTATAACTACAAAACATCCCACCAGCAACTGGGTAGACGAACTACCCCTAATCCTTTTGTCAATCCGCAACACACTCAAAGAAGACTTAGAATGCACTCCAGCCGAAATAGTCTTCGGTACAGCACTCTCTTTACCCGGCCAATATTTCGACGACACCATACCCAACCTAACCACTGCAAGTCCTTTCACTCAGGAACTTCGCCATAAAATGGCCCAACTGAAGTATACACCACTCAGGCAATCATCACCAACTATCCACGTTCCACAACAGCTTCAGGACTGCGAGTTCATTTTTGTCCGAAATGACGCGGTAAAGAAACCACTAACACCAACATACCAGGGTCCATTCAAAGTCTTAAAAGGCTCTGAGAAGCATCTCACCATTGATCGAGGAAGCCGGACGGACAGCATCTCCATCGACAGAGTCAAACCAGCTTTTCTGGGAAAATCTCCACGGGAGACAGAACCCGTCTCAACACACCCAGAACCTTCACCTGCCTCAACAACCACGCAATCGCAACCGTCACAACCGAGGCAGAATCACCCACCACTCCACCTAGGCAGACCCGTCTTGGAAGGAAAGTCACCTTCCCTAAGAAGTACAAGAAATATATTTTCTTCTAATCGATAATGATCAATTATCCTGGGAGAGGGCCTTGTCGCAGTGTGCCCAAACACCACTCCCACCTTTTCTTAAACAACCCCGGATATGCCTGCCGGTAGAGAAAGGTCACGACCCTTGTGTGCTAAAAATAGCAACGACATCCTTTCAAACTGACAGAAACACACAAAACTCAATTTTCGCCATTAAACAAAAATAAAAGACCTTTAATTTCGAACCGAAATTAATTTAAATACAGTCAACAAACATCCAACACACTTTTGACTGTAATTAATACGGCCCGAAATTAATTATATTCATTTACTTGTTTAGCGTCACCGCTTCTCTTGTATGAACCGTCATATCTAGATGCCCGAGACTTCGCAGCGGTTTTCAGCCGGCCACGGAAGCAGCCCGGCCTTCGGGTTGGGTTGCGACCATGGCAAAGTCTAGTTTGGACCATATAAGGACCTGCTAAGACAAGCCAAGACCAAAACTTGACTAAGCTTTGACCAGCTTGGACATGTTATGACCAAAACAATGACTAAGCCTTGACCAGCTTGGACATGTTATGACCAATCTTTGACCAGTGACCCTATGCGGAAACGCTTGGGTTTTCCCACGAAAAACGACCTTGTGTCACGTCTTGACCCCGTGGGAGTCAAGTAATCCCACGAAAAACGACCTTGTGTCACATCTTGACCTCGTGGGAGTCAAGTAAATACCGCCGGCCACGGAAGCAGCCAGGCCTTCGGGCTGGGTTGCGACCATGGCAAAGTCTAGTTTGGACCATATCAGGACCTGCTAAGACTAACTTGGACCAGAACTTGACTAAGCTTTGACCAGCTTGGACATGTTATGACCATTCTTTGACCAGTGACCCTATGCGGAAACGCTCGGGTTTCCCACGAAAACGACCTTGTGTCACGTCTTGACCCCTGGAGTCAAGTAATCCCACGAAAAACGACCTTGTGTCACACCTTGACCTCGTGGGAGTCAAGTAAATACCGCCGGCCAGGGAGCAGGAAGCCTTCCTGATTCGCGACTTTGACGCGCCCAGTCAAGTCGACCAAGCCCAGCAGCTGACGGGACCCAGCAGCAGCAGTAGCAGCAGTTGTTCAAACAGTCCTTTTCAGGGCTAACTTCCGAAAGTCATTCGATCACCACTCTTCAAGGCTCCACTCACTCCACTCTTTGCTACTGCCTTCCCTCTGAGACGCCAGCTCACTCCTGCAGCTTCCAGCTCACTCCTGCAGCTTCCAGCACTCCTACCGCTTCCAGCTCACCCCAACAGCTTCCAGCGGCCTCCAGCTCACACCTGCGGCGCTCTACTGACGTCCCGCTACCTATTCCAGCACCGGCTGACGATCTAATCCAGTACCCACTGACGTCCAGGGCCCGTTAACTTCCGGACACCGTTCCCGAACAAACGACCTCTGTCGTAATACCATCTACCGTTCGCAAATAAACACACGATTTGTTCCATCGTCTACAACGGACCATCTGCGTTTGTCATCCTTCTTTGCTATTGCCATCTCCTTGCCTTTTGTGTCCCCTATTTTAGTTGTACGGTCGATTGGCACTCACACCTCTCGGCCCGCTGCAACAACTTTTTAATAGGGCTTGATTTGTTTTGATTAAAAATTGTTTTGCTAGAAGACAGTTTGTTTATTCTGGTATTGACTGTGTTTGGAATTTGGTTTATAAATGTTTTCGGGTGGTTCGAGTGGATATTTATGTATATGGGAGTTCGGTTTTCATTTTGGAAGGGTTTGTAGGTGTTTTTTCAGAGTAAATGTAACGTCTATATATATATATATATATATATATAAATATATATATATATAAATATATATATATATATAAAAATATGTATATATATATATATATATATATATATATATATATATATATATATATATATATATATATATATATATTTGGTTGGATAGATGTGAGTTTGTGATTTGGGCTGACGATCGCTAAAAGCGTGAAACCCAGGTCACAACTCACATCTATCCAACCAAATATGTTAGCTATCTCTGATATTGAGCGCTTTCTAATAAGTACCACGCATATAATATATAAATAATTATACATACTTATATTTATTTATATTTATATACACTTTTCACATATATATATATATATATATTTGCAATTTTTATATATATTATTTATATATTATATATGTGCGGTACTTATTGGAAAGTGATAGAGATAACATATTTAGTTGGACTGATGTGAGTTTGTGACCCCGGGTTTCATACTATTTGCGGTCGTCAGACAAACTGAATAATTTTTAAATTTTGCATTTATATATGGTTGCGTATATATCGTTGTTTTTATGGTAGTGGGAGGAAAAATTGTCTTCGGAACGCAACTCATATGTACGCAAACATACATACACGTACGTTCACTCATTGCTTCCACTACCATAAAAACACTGATATACGCAACCATATATAAATCCAAAATCACATCAATCCGACTATATATATATATATATATATTATAAATTAATTGATTTAAAATATGGTTTTTTCCGCTACACAGTTCTAACCATGTTTCAAAAATAGAAGCTAAAAGCCCCGAATTTAATTAAATTAAAAGGATTAGTTCCATTTCATCCTCAAGCGAATTTTGGAGTAACTTTTAAAAATTACTGGGTTTTAAAGACACAGCTAAAATCACGTTTCCATGGTTACAGAATATTCTACTTGAATTGGACAAGCGATGTCTAGGTATTCCTTATGACAGTATCATTGTATCAGTTATTAGCTACAATTTGGTAAGGGGTAGGGATGTATTTTTCAATGAAAACTGACATCCGTTCAATGCATGTCGTCTGGATTTTTTTTTTTTAAAAATATTGTTAACGGTAAAAAAATTCTTACGGCATTTTTTTTTCTATTTACAAATTTAAAGATTTTCGAGGGTGTTCAGATCATAATACTTTTTATTTAACTACGATTTGAAATATTCTCATTTTTAATTTTTATTATACTATATTCTTTTTAAGAACAGTTAAATATATTAGACTCCATTATATTATGTAGGATTATTTTAACATCAAGTTTAAGTATGTATATGAGGTTACATTTTTTTTTCTTTTTTTTTCTTTCTTTTATTAAAAAATTTTATGACTGACGGCAAAAATGGTTACTTAATTTCACTGATTTAGTAAACTTTTATTTTATATATAAACCTAGTAATATATTGTTTCTCATGTAAGTACAAAGGACATGGGTCATTCAAAAGCTTACATCTTATGGCATTTCATATTAATTTTATTTTTATTTTATTTTACTATAGATGTTTTTATTGGATTCTTTTAAGTGCGTGTAGTACTAATTAAAAGAACTTTAGGTTAGAATTCATTTTATTTAACTACAATTTTAATTACAATTTTAAAATTACAACTTTAAAATTTTAAAATATTTTCATTGTTAGTTTTAATAGACTATATTACTTTATAACAGAAAGAAAATTACTCATAGTAAGTAAAATTATTTTTCCATATCAAAGTATATGTAAATTACGATTTTTAAACTTTTATAATTAAATATTATTTAAGTAATATTTATGGCACTTACAACAAAACTAGCTAAGTCATTTCTCAGATTTAGTAAACTTTATTTATTAATTAATTTATTTATTTTAAATATATATAACCTAAGTACTAAAGTTTCATATGTATGTACAAAGGACATGGGTCGTTCACAACCCTACATCATCTAGCTTTTGTTATAATTTCATTTTTCAGTAGGTGTTTTATTGGATTCATTTAAGTGCCTGCAGTCCTTTTATTATAGAGGTGTTTCGGTTAGCATACATTTTATTTAACTACAAATTTTTAAAAAGATGCTTAGGTTTGAATTCGTTTTAACTACAATTTTAAATTTTAAAATTTTAAATATAAGTTTAAAATATTTTCACTGTTATTCCAATAGACTTTTTCCTTTTTTTTTTTTTAAATATTATTTAAGGAAAATTTTTGGCAATGACGGCATATAATAGCTATTTCATTTCTCTGATTCAGTAAATTTTTATTTTTTATAAACTTAGTAATATATAGTTTCTCGTGTATGCATAGAGGACAAGGGTCGTTTAATGACCTACAAATTCTAGCTTTTCTTATTAACTGCCATTTTACTGTAGGTGTTTTATTTGATTCTTTTAGATGCCAGAAATATTTTGAGAGAGATGTTTGATTTTATATCTATTTATTCTAAATGAAGTTTGATGTTGGTTGAATCGTTTTTTTTAATTCATGGCTAGTGCAACCTATATATATTTTTATGTTATCAGGACTTTCAATCGAAGAGATATTGCATTGGTATACTAATGATTCAGTGCGACATTTATTTTGTAGTGGGCAATTTTGAGGGTTTCTACAGTTACATAGTTTTTGTTTATTTCCATCAGTTTTTATCTTAATTTTTCCATTGTTTAAACTTTTTAGGTTTTGGTATAAGTGTTTATTTTAAGATATTAGCATTGTGGTTCTTAATGATTTTTTCTAAGTTTTTTGTACAGCTGTAACTCAATTTTAGTGTGTTTTTATTGAAAATAGTACTTAGTTTACTTTCACTAGGAAAATGCTTGACTATTAATGCGAGGAATTTATGTCCTAATTTGTTCTTTACCATTTGGTTATATGGGGGAGTATACCAAATAATCTTTCTACATCTGTTTTTTCTATGCTTTCCTGAAAATGGAAAGCATAGAAAAAACAGATGTAGAAAGATTTTTTATATAAGTTAGTTTTGGGTTTTTGTAGCCACTATCTTTTAGAGCCTTATTATAGGAATTGATATGCTCATCGAATATCTTGTCATTTGCTGAATTTGTACTAATTCGTTTACTGATAGATAACGGTATATGTTTAATTATAGATGGGGGGTGATTTGATTTAGGATGTATATATAAAGGATTGGTGTTGGGTTTTTTATAAGGTAAGTATTTTTATTTAGATCTAATGTTATATCTAGGAAGTCTACTTTTTTTAATTTAGTACTAACCGTAATTTTTAAGCCCATGCTTTTAAATTCTTTTATATAATAACTTTCTAATTCTATCTATTTTGAAGTTCGTTGAGTTCCTAATAACCATAAGCCCATCGTCTCTGTACAAACCAATATCATTTGTATTAATATCATAGTGCGCTGTAAGGTTGTATAATATAAAAAGGCCAATGAGATAAGAAGACTCAGCTGAGTCTAGTGATCCCATTGTGATGTCAAATTGGTCGTAAGAATTCTTAATCCATTCCTCACCTTTATGTATAAGTACTGATTTTTTTGCATACAGAATGATATTCCTTTCTTCATCTGTAATATCCGTATAGTGGGTGGCAAAGTCCAACGCATTGATAAATAGTTCTTTGGAAATTGATTGGTAATAATTATCAATATCAAATTGTATTAATGTACAATTGTTTTTTCCTTTTAAGTGAGTAAACCAGTTTATCACTTCCTTGGTATTAATCCAAAGTTTGAGGCTAATTTTTTCTTTAATTTGTTTATTTACCCTTTCAAGGATCATTTTACTTATTTTTCCTATCTCCGGTCTTGTGGGATTAATTATCCTTGTAGTGGGATTAGCCTCAAAATCTTGTTTATGGTCCTTTAAGGTGATGTAGCATTCTTTTTGGTATAGTTTACCAACTCTATCACTGATCATTAGTTTATCAGTGATTTCCTTACTGCTGGTATTGATATCCCGAACTATGTTGATGTCATTGTTATTCGCTTTCTTGTAGTTCTTGTTCAAGTCCTTATTTATTAGGTCGTTGTATTCGTTTATGGATGTTTTATAAAAGTTCCCAGTTTTGTCGGATTTTACTAAAATTTTATCTGTAGCATTTATATCCTTTACAATCTTATCCAGGCGTTTCTGGAAGTAGCTTATCTTGTCATGGAAATTTATGTTGTTAATTATTTCCTTTTCGAAAGCGAACAAACTATGAATAAATGGTGCTGCATTTTTACTGTTAAAACCGTAAGTTTCCTTGTAGTTTTTGTTTTGTGATTCATTCTTATTAAGGAAGAAGTAAGTTCTCCATCTCATCCTACGTATAAGTTCCTCTGTTTTTTTCATTAATAACACGAAATATTCCTTTTTGTTGGTATTAGGAATGTTCTTCAGAGAAATTCCGAAAATTATTTTCTCCATATTTTCTTGTTAAAAATAAAGATTTAGAGTGCTCGACTTTGATTAGGAGCAAAAGTATATATATATATATATATATATATATATATATATATATATATATATATATAGTTAACACTAGATTTGAACAGGTTAAGATTGTAGTGATCAGGAAACATCCTCTTGGGATTTGGTTCCACAGGGCAGTGGTTCATCGAAGAAGCTGCATCGAAGAAATGTTTGGAATATACC